TGCAGTGAGGCTTTGGCTTTCTATCCTGGGCCCCAGCGAGTCTAATGCTGGTCCTGCTTGGTGGCCCCCCTCAAACCTGCTCACAGCCCCCCTGGAGGCTCCGGACCCCTGGTTGAGAACCACTGCTCTATGCATTTCTCCTTGCTATCATGGGGTGGAAAGAGGGGAATATTGGACTTGCAGTCTCTCCTGTCTCCACTCACACTTGGAGCTGCAATCCAGGAGGGTCCTTACTGCCTCCTGTGGCTGCATAGGTCCAGGGCACAATCTAGCTTTAAATAAAATTCCACAATACTAGACCATGGATGCAGAGACATTCAGAAAAACAGCACTATAGCGGTTCTAGGTACTTCATTTGGTCTTGACAGCAAAAAAACAAATGTCACAAATCTTCATTTATTTAATCTGAGCAAATTTTCATAATTTTATGATTAACCCCATAGGAATAGGTATATATTTTTCTTCTTCCCATGGGCGAGATTGTGCCATAGAAAGTAGTACCTTAATGTGCTAAGAGCCACACTGAAATCTGGTAAAGTGCTGGTCATTGTGAGTAAGGGTGGGAGAATCTGGGCCACAATTGCATGGCCGTTAACAAATACATTAAACTGTCAAGTCCCTTCTCCTTGGAGCAACAACTGAAGGGTTGGTCTACACACAGAAATTGCACCAGTTTAACTAAATCTGTTTCTAAATCAATTCAGTCAAACCAGTAATCAAATTAAGCTAAATCCATATAAGGCACCCATAAACCAATTTAAGAACGTCCTCACAAGGAGGTTGCACTGGTTTAGATAAATCAGTTTAGAAACAGAATTTAGCAATTTCTGTGTGTAGACCAGCCCTAAGACTCCGATCTTGCAAACAGATGTGCCAGTGCATCTGCTTACAGGATAGGAGCCTATAGGAGACTCAACATAGCAGGGGAGGACAAATGGAAGGATGAAGTTTATTTTACTGTAAGATATCATAAGACATGCCTATTGTTGTGGATGTATCTCTCTAAGTATCATTTAAAAAAATTATACCAAAATCTGAGCCAGTTTCTAAAATTAAGGGCATGGCAGAAGTCAGCACTGGAAGTTTTTATCCTAACTGGAATAACCAAAATCTATTGAACTGCTTAAGGTGATGCTGTCAAGCCAGTCCTACTGTGCTTGTACATGCAGAGCAGAGGGTTCCCACAGTAGTAATTAGGGAATCAAAGGAACATACTGACGTTCCCACTTCTCAGGTTACTATTAAGGTATGACTTGACAAGCAAAAACAATCCCACCTAGTTTACAACCCTAACACAACTACAAATGTTTTAGCCTGAATCTAAGCATATGTCTACACTTCAAGCTGGGGGTTTGACTCCCAGCTTGAGGAAACATACCCATGCTAGCGCTGATCAAGCTGGTATGCTAAAAACAGATTGCAGCTGCAGTGGTAGCGCTGGGAGCAGTCCTTTATTTCCTTCCTGTTCCAAAACCCCTAGACTGTTGTCATGGAAATCAAAGTAATGTTACAAATTCAGAATTACTGCTTTCATGTTAAGGTCAAGAAAGATATTAAATAAAAAAAACAACGCTGCCAGTAATTAGCAAAATTGGCAAGGAAAATTACGACTATCACCTGAAAGGTAAATTTATTTAAGAAAAAATGTTATAGTATATTATAATTTTTTATAATTATTATACAATGTTATAGTATATTATATTTTTTTATAATTATTATAAAAAACAACATTGCTTTTTAAAGGCAGATGCTCTTCTCTTTACTCCTGCTTTTATACCATGGTATTGTAGAGTTTTCAAACAGTAAGTGGTTTACTGTACCATATAATATATATGTTTTCTGTTTTTATTTGCTTTTTAAATGTATAACCTATTACATAAAAATGCACTATATTCAAGGAACATTAAGGTTGCAAAGTCAAGCACTCAAGAGTTATGAAATGCTAGAATTAAGGTTGCCTGTGCTACTTTAATTCAGCCTTGTTGGGAGTATGCACTGTGATAGTGTCTTTAATACGTGATCTCTCAGCCCTGATCAAATTCATCCTGCTGGATGCTCACCAGACTGCCCTGTTTCACATGCTAGGCATGTGTGTTTTTTTTTTTTTAAGCTCCCCTGCATCCCAGTTCGGTTTCAGCCTCTCTCTCTCTGGCCTCTCTAGCGTACTTCCTGGGCACAGACGCTGTCTCTGGTATCCCCATCTCTCCGCAGACAAGCTGGAGGATGCATTTATCCCATTGCTGTGTTCGGGCAAGATCTGTTCAGGTGCTTATAGTCTAACAACCATCCTATTCAAAGACAGCCACTCAGGCACCCCTCCCTGTGTCCTTGGTGTTAAGGTGTTTGAGGCAGGTATACAGTAAAGAGAATCATAAGGGCTTAAACATACAGAGTTCATAATCTCAAACAGAATTCCTAAACTATACAGAGAAAAATTCCCCAAATCATCACACATGATTAAGGCTGCGAGTCTGTCATGGAAGTCACAGATTCCGGGACCTCTGTGACTTCTGCAGCCGGTAGGTGTGGCTGACCCAAGGGCTGCCTGAGTAGCTGGCCAGCTGCACCCTCCCCTCCCCCCAGCAGCGGCGGCAGTCCCTGGCTGCTGTCCCCTCTGCGCTAACACCAGCGGTGGTAGTCCCAGGCCGCTGCTCCCCCCCCCGAGCAGCAGCGGGTACCCGGGAGCCTTCCCCCCCCAGCACCAGCGGGTGCCCCGGAGCCCCCCCTCCAGAGCAGCAGCTGTGCCCCCAGGATCCCCCCAGAGCACCCAAGATTTAGTCAGGAGTATATAGTACAGGTCATGGACAGGTCACGGGGACGTGAATTTTTGTTTATTGCCCGTGACCTGTCCATGACTTTTACTAAAAATACCCATGATTAAATCTTAGCCTTACACATGATCACATACTATATTGTCCATAGAATCTCCCTCTCCTCCCCCCCCAGCTCCATGTCCTCATCCCAGTTTTGTCTCCCCTATCTCCCCCGCCTCCACATCTCAGTCCAAATTTGTGAGGTGCTGAGTGCTTTCTACTTCCATTGACTTCAGTAGGAGTTGAGGGTTGGGCTCTTGGGACTCAATTCCTTGTCACTGGTGTGCATGGAAAGATTCTAATTGGAATCTTGGAATGAGTTTGGTATCCGGCCCTTTGTGGGTAGAGTTGCAAAGTATTGTTACTATTAAAAATCACTTTTGCAGATTTTCTTGTGCTAATAATAGCTGGCAGAGCCCCAAAATCCAGCACAAGTTCAAGGTATAAAGATAAGGGGCCCAAATCACTGCTGTATTACTCTATGTTTATGCCAGTGTAACTGTACTGAAATCAATGAAATTACATCAGCGTAAAACTGGAGTAACTCATTGAGGAATTCGGGCCAAATTAATTTTTTCTCTCTTTGTGCTGTTTCCTGTAAACATTTCTGCCATATTATTGTATGTGTGGACTTTTAAAATATAACATAAACAATGCTTCATAGCTGTGTTCACATAGCATTACTGTTGATGGATGCAAGCTTGCAGACTCTGGGCTCAATTTTGCCCTTGCTTACATCAGTGCAATCTTAGGCCTAGTCTGCATTTAAAATTTAGGTTGATTTGGCTGTGTCACTCAAGGGTGTTAAAAATCAACACCCCTCAGAGACATAATTGAGCCAATCAAAGCCCCAGTGGAGACACCACTAGGTTGACCTGGCTACCGTCTCTCGAGGGGGCAGATTTTCTACAGCAACAGAAAAATCCCTTCCATTGCTGTACCAAGTGTATACACTACTGCACTACCGTTGCACAGCTGCAGCACTTGTAGTGTAGGCATACCCTTAATGACTTCAGTAGTAACTGAGAGCAGGATTTATCCCTTAGTATATGAACTGCCAGCACATTTTCTTGCCAGCCTAATGCTCATTCCGTTTGCATGGTTTTTTTTTATTCCTGTGTGTTTTGTTCAGCCTTGTTAACCTAAACTCTTGAAGAACTTTATTTCACATTTGTTTTAACCCAGATAAGTCAGATGGCATAACCACTTTTAAATGATTTCTGAATAGATGCATTTTGTAAGTTGGATGATGAAAAAATTGGAGGAAACTGTTGTGACAGCGCAACTCTTTAGTGACGTCAGGGCTCAGCATTTCTCCCTCTGGCACTGGGGGAGCCTGGGGTAAATCAGTCCTACTCTGGAGGTTTAGTTCTTCACCTTGGCTTATTTACAATATTTACGAGGAGGCCCGAGGTTTGGCCTTAGGGCTTCTTTAAACAAACACAAACAAACAAAAAAAGCATTTCCTAATTCCCACTGGAGTATGCCTCTTCATATGCTGGCTACCAATTGCCAGCCGTCCTCTCTAACCTATTCTGTGCCCAGCTATGTTGGGAACCAATAGGGTGACCAGATGTCCCGATTTTATAGGGACAGTCCCGATTTTTGGGTCTTTTTCTTATATAGGTTTCTATTACCCCCCCACCACACACACACCACCTGTCCCGATTTTTCACACTTGCTGTCTGGTCACCCTAGGAACCAAGGTCCTCCTCCCCAAACAGAAATAAGCACATTTCCCTTATAGAGAAAAACAGCTCGTTTTTGGAAAAGCCTCCCCCCTCACTGCACACAGTCTTTCTACTGCTTCCTCCCCTCACCCTCACTGGAAGAGATTTCTAAAGGTCACAGGCTGTCCTTAATTAGACTCAGGTGTTTATAATTAACCTGAGGTAACCTTTTCCAGGTCATATTAAAAGGACTTCAATCATTCTAAGACTGATATACCTGCCTTCAACCACATATTTATCCTTTTATAGATAAGCACAAGAGAAGAGGTGCTCATTAATGGAGGTCCATTACTATAATGCTCTCCTAATAGAAATGAACAAGCTATTTACAGTTTAAATTGCTGAATGAGATATTTGAGTTATTTTAAAGCTTATTTTTATGTTTTAGTACAAATTAAATGAAGGTGAAATACATGCCATAGAAAATGCACTGATATTTCTGCATCATGTGTCCAGTATTGAACAAAAGGATTTTATTCACTTTGTTTTATTCTGAATATTGTCATGTCTTGAATTTAATAAAATTATAATATACCACCCTTTGAGAACTGTCAGGTCTGCCTTTGTCATGCTGCTAAAACCTGACAGCTTCCAGATTGCAAATCTCTAGGATTTGGACTCTCTTCTATGGCTGACTCATTCTACACTTCACCTCAAAACACTTTCAGAGATGCTGGGACACTACCTAGGAAGAAAGCTTGGTTTCCTTTGACCACATTCACTTTTGATACTTGGTTGATGGTACTCTTCCTTTTGTGCAAAGTACTTCCCTGTGTTTGCTTGTGATGTTCTGTGTCACTAAAATGCATAGTAAATAATAGATAGAGATGGTGCAGGAAGGAATAGTTTTACTAGTGTGCATGAGGCAGTGTTGTTTAGTAGATAGAGCAGTGGACTAGGACTCAGGATTCTATTCCCAGCTCTGCTTGGTGACCTTGGACAAGTCACTTCAGTCCTCTGTGTCTTGGTTTCCCCACCTGTAAAATGAGGATGATGATACCGAATTCCTAAGCACTTGGGGCTAGATTCACAAAAGTTTTTAGATGCCTAAGTCCCAGTTTTAGGCTCTTTAGTGATCCACAAAACTGTTGGACTCTGTAGGCGTCTAAAAAGGCTAATTTCATTCTGAGTATTAACAGTAGTGTCATGTGGAAGACATGGAAGTAATTGTCCCACTGTACTCAGCACTGGTGAGGTCTTATCTGGAGTACTGTGTTCAAGTCTGGGCACCATACTTTAAGAAAGATGGGGGCAAATTAGAGAGAGTCCAGAGGAGAGCAACAAAAATGGTATAAGGTTTAGAAAAGCTGACCTATGAGGAAAGGTTAAAAAAAACCCGGGGAAGCTTAGTTTTGAGAAAAGAAGATTGAGGGGGGATCTGATAGACTTCAAATATGTTAAGGGCTGTTATAAAGAGGATAGTGCTCAATTGTTTTCCATGTCCACTGAAGGTAGGAGAAGTAATTGACTTAATCTGCAGCAAGGGAGATTTAGGTCAGATATTAGAAAGTTTTTTCTAACTATAAAGGTAGTTAAGCTCTGGAACAGGCTTCCCAGGGAGGTTGTGGAATCCCCATTGCTGTAGGTTTCTAAGAACAGGTTGGACAAACAACAGTCAGAGATGATTTAGGTTTACTTGGTCCTGCTACAGTGCAGGGGACTGGACTAGATGACCTCTTGAGGTCCCTTCCAGCCCTACATTTCTGTGATTCTATGAGAAGAGTGAGTGTGAGTGTGTGTGTGTCTGTGAGGTGGTGGGAACAGGCCAACCAACCAAAACATCTCCTTCCCAGAGCTGTGGAGGGAATACCCCCTGCCCCAGCCTGACCCTCCTCTCACACCTCACCCTCGCGCACACCAGTTTGATCATCTCTGGAGCCTATGAACCAGAACCAGTTCACCACAAGAGATTGCCCACTAAACAGTGTATTTAGAGATTACAAATATTGCAGGATTTTTCTTGATAGGACCAAGATAGCAGTTAAGAATGGGGGTGGAGGGAACAGGATGACTAAGGGTAGATAAACATCTGCCAAAGAGTTAAGGGGGTAACAGATTCATAGATTTCAGGGCAAGAAGGGACCATTGTGATCATCTAGTCTGGCCATAGAACTTCCCCAAAATAGTTCCTAGAGCAGATCTTTTAGAAAAACATCCAATGTTGATCTAAAAATTGTCAGTGATGGAGAATCCACCGCATCCCTTTGGTCCAGTGGTTAATTACTCTCACTCTTAAAAAAAATTATGCCTTATTTCCAATCTGAATTTGTCTAGCTTCAACTTCTAGCCGTTGGATTGTGTTATATATTTCTCTGCTAGTTTGAAGAGCTCATTATTAAATATTGTTCCCCAGGTAGATACTTAGACTGTAATCAAGTCACCCCTTAACCTTCTTTTCGTTGAGCTAAATAGACTGAGCTTTTTGAGTCTATCACTATAAGGCATGTTGTCTAATCCTTTAATTATTCTCATGGCTCTTCCCTGAACCCTCTCCAATTTATCAACATCCTTTTTGAATTGTGGGCACCACAACTGGACACAGTATTCAAGCAGTGTTTGCACCAGTAACCTCTCAACTCCTACTCAAGATTCCCATTTCTGCATTCCAAGATTGCATTAGCTCTTTTGGCTACAGCGTCACACTGGGTTCTCACGTTCAGTTGATTATCCACCACAGCCCCCAAATCTTTTTCAGAGTCACTGCTTCCCAGATTATAGTCTTCCATCCTGTACGTATGGCCTACATTCTTTGTCCCTAGATATTTACATTAGGGATATAAATAACATGTAAAAACAGTAACCGTGTAGCCGATTAAAATTCTATCGGTTACACAGTTAAACATTTACTCGGGGAACTAGCGGTGCAGGGGGTGCTGCAGCACCCCCACATTTTGCGTGGGGCTCTGCTGCCACCCCCGGGGATCTCTGCTACTGGGAGGGACTGCGGGCGTGGGGCTGGGAGCCCCGAGGGACACCGGGCGTGCCAGGATGTCGGGCAGCAGCAGAGCCCTAGCATAGGGCGGCAGCTGGGATGCCAGCCGTGCAGGGATGCCAGGATGGTGGGTGGCGGGGCCGGTAGCCTGGAGGAACCCCGGGCCCGTGGGGCAGCAGCCGGGACCTTGGGTGGAGTTTAATCGTTAAGCTTGATGCTTATTGGTTTCTGTTATCAGCTAACCAGTTTACCGGTTAAACTCTTACATCCCTAATTTACATTTAGTCATATTAAAACACATACTGTTTGCTTCTACCCAGTTAACTAAGCAGTCCAGATTGCTCTCAATTGGTGACCTGTCCTCTTCATTATTTGCCACTTCCTCAATTTTTTTGCCACTTCCTGCAGACTTTTTCAGTGATGATTTTATGTTTTCTTCTACGACACTGATACGAATGTTAAATAGCACAGCACCAAGAACCAATTCCTGCAGGACCCCATTGGAAACACACCTGCTTGATGACGATTCCTCATTTACATTTACATTTTGAAAGCTCTTAGTTAGCCAGTTTTTAATCCATTAAATGTCTGCCATAAGAGCTAGTTGTTGTTGTTGTGGTTGCCCAGTTTTGTGTTGACCACAATAACTATGAGCATCAAAGCAGGAAGCCCAGATATGCAGGTCATCTCAAACAAGTGACAATAGAGACTTTATAGAGACTAATCACATAGTTTGTTTAGGCCACTTACAGTATGCTGCATCTTTTTATTCATGTTAAAATGATCTTCCATTGTTCAGAAGTACATTAGTTATATAAAAACAATAATTGATATGGGTATGTCCAAAAGATCATGAAATGTTAGATTATATAATGGTTTGTATTTTATTAAATGTGAAATATATTTATATTTTAACTATTCTTTGTATCTCTATGAAAGATAGTTTTCTATTACATTATATGTGTATTTGGTGCTTTACAAATAATTAAAAGACACAGTTCTAACCATGAGGAGTTCACAGTTTTAGGACCCGATCCTGCAAACCTGTACTCGTGTATGCAGTTCTTACACATACAAGTAATCCCATTTAGTTTGTGGGATTGGGTTCCAAATTCAGACATGACATGACAAGGATAAATAACAAATATTAGGGAGGTAATGGAGAGACAGGACAAATGATACCATTAGTTAATGTTTGTATGAAAATAGTCTGAAAATAGACTGTCCCAGATCCACAAAGGTATTTAGGCTCCTAACTGCTACTGAAATTGATGAATCAGATCCTAAGTGCTAAGAATGAATGTTGTTCCTATAGGATGGTTCTTATAAGTTATAACTAAATGTGTCATAAAGCTTTTTATGAGATCTATTATTGACATTTGTTATACTACAAAGCTATGGTAGTTCTATATTTAAGTTTATTTTAACCAGTTTTATTTACTTTAAAATAAAATGAGTGATGGAAATGTTCAGATACTGGAGTAAATCAGTATTAGTAAATAATTAGTAGTAAATTCTGTCATTAAGAGGGGTATTATTAAAGTTTAGGAGCTATTGAATTAATTGCTACAACCTTGTTCTATACTAGGCTTGTGTAATTTATATTGTGAATGCTCTGGAAACATTTAAGATGAGCACATAATCTATTTACCCTCATGTAAAACATCTCCATTAACATTAATTAGAGCCTCATGACTAAATCCCCATATGCTTCACTGAAAACGTGGCACAGTCATGTGGGAAAAGAATATGAGAAAGGTTTAAGTCTGTCTTGGAACATTGATGCTCAGCTGATGATGCTGAAGGCTCCAATTCTGAAATGAGATCTGAATAGGTGGACCCCAGTAATTAGGTTCTACAAGGATTCAGGGATCTTCCTGCATGGATCCAATTGCCGGAACAGAGCCAAATCCTGAAAGCTTGCCTCAGTTATGATTTCTAGGGCAAAAAATGTGAATGGTAAGGAGTCTTCATAAAATGTCATGCAGTGAAATCCTGGCCTCATTGAAGTCAGTGGGAGTTTTGCCATTGGCTTCAGTGAGCTCAGCATTTCATGCTCTTAGGCTGTGTCTACACTTGGAGTTAGGGGTGTGAGTCCCAACTCATGTAGACATACTCACGCTAGCTCTCTTTGAGGCAGCACACTAAAAACAGTAGCTGCGGTAGCATGGGCAGCTGTGAGTGGCAGCACAGGCTAGCCATGCCAAATATGTGCTCATGGGGTTCAGGTGGGTTGGTACTCAGGGCAGCTAGCCAGGGCCGCCCGGGGGGGGGGGCAAATGGGGCAATCTGCCCCAGGCCCTGGGCCCCGCAGGGGCCCCCACGAGAGTTTTTCGGGGCCCCTGGAGCGGGGTCCTTCACTTGCTCCGGGAGCCCCGGAAAACTCTCGTGGGGCCTGGGCCCCCGGAGCTTCTTCTGCTCCGGGTCTTCGGCGGCAATTCAGCGACGGGGTCCTTCCGTCCCGGAACCCGTCGCTGAAATGCCTGGTCTTCGGCGGCCGAAGACCCTGCCGCCGAAGACCCCAGGCCCCCTGAATCTTCTGGGCAGCCCTGCAGCTAGCCCACGCTGCCACTTGCTATTGCCATTGCTACTGCAGCTACACCGCTATTTTTAGCACACTAGCTTGATGCAAGCTAGCACAAGTATGTCTATATGAGCTGGGAATCAACCCCCCACCTCCAAGTATAATCATACCCTTAGACTTTGCCTGCTGGTGGGTGAGGGGGACAGAGAAAGAACAATGGAACCAGGTGACTAAAAATAGGGAATTGTTTTTAAAAACCCTTTGAAATAAATCATTAATATTTTAATTTCATCTGAACCTCTTATCAGCATGTCATCTTTATCATAAACCATTTTACAATCTGGTTTTTGGTTACTCTGCTTTGTTTTAATTTCTTATAGCAACAGAAGATTATCACCATGAAGCTCAGACTGCAAACAATGGACAAGCCATTACAGCTTCCTGCAAAAATAAAGATACAGACCTGCAGTTTAAAATACAGGCCTACATAGATAAAAACACTGTTATGATCTTCAGTAACACAGCGTGCAGTCTGTCTGCTAAGGTAAAATGTTAATTTTCACGCAGAGATATACAGGATTTGTCATATCTTACAAGTTCACTGTTCTTCATTTCACTAATGTAACTGAGTTGCAAGATCCCATTGACTTCAGCATGGCTCCACATGGGCACAGGAGTCTGTCCATGTGAAGTCATTTTCAATGAAACAGGTCTTAGTTGCTGTCTCCTCTACTTTTCCTAGTCCAACCATAGCCAGAACCATCTTTCTATTTTTTTCCCTGCAAAGTGTATGTCTGGTCTCTAATCCCAGCTACAGATTGCTCCTGTGTCTGGCACCCATCCCGCTGTCCCTGACAAATATCTGGTCCTGACCTTCCAGCTCATAGGCCTCAGTTCAGCAAAGTACTTCAGCATGCGCTTAAGTTTAATTAATTTAATTTAATTTTAATTAATGGAGATATCCCATCTCCTAGAACTGGAAGGGACCTTGAAAGGTCATTGAGTCCAGCCCCCTGCCTTCACTAGCAGGACCAAGTACTGATTTTGCCCCAGATCCCCAAGTGGCCCCCTCAAGGATTGAACTCACAACCCTGAGTTTAGCAGGCCAATGCTCAAACCACCGAGCTATCCCTCCCCCCTACTTTACTTTATGTTTACTTCAGTGGGACATATTTAAGCACATGCTTAAACCTAAGCATATGCTGAAGTGCTTTGCTGAGTGAGGGCCATAGAATGCTCTGTTTCCAGATGTTCTCCACCTGGAAATTAAGCCGCAAGGGCTAAATTTTGGCTCTTAATCTCAGCCCATTCATTCAGGGCCTGATCCTAAATTAGAGTTTTCCTACTGACTTCAAGGCTTTGGGTCAGGCTCTCAGATAGGTGACCCAGATGAGATTTCTTATTAATTCTGGTGTAGAATTTATCATCCCTTTGTCAATGCCTCTTCTTGAGTTACCTTGCTTCTGTAATACCCTTGCTCTGCTATTTAGAGATTTCTTGAAGAGTTAATTTATCTAGTTTGTCCTTTGGAGAAAGAGAACTGTGAAGAGTAGTTTCTGCCTTTTTCATGTATTCATTGGGTTTGATTAACTAAGGATTATCTTTCTTTTAAAAGATGACCGCTTTTTCTTTCTGTTATGGATAAATTGTTTAACTCCTATGCAGGTTGAGAAGTTCCCAGAAGGAAATTCCCATCTACATAAAGATATTTCCTACTTATTATTTAACTACCTGCATATGCCTCTACACATTAATTGTATATTTTTACTCTAATGGATGTAATTAAAAAAGAATTTAGGTTTTCTAAAAAGGGGAACAGAAGTTTTTATTTCAAGTTAATAAATCAATTTTAAAAATGATGGGCAATTGGAATAAGATTTTGTACATTGGAGTCTCAAGTCCAGGCCCACACATTAGCAGAGGGATTTATCTTAGAGCACAGCACCATTGTTCCTGTTAATTAGGGCTTCTGTTTTTCAGGATTTATTTTTAGCAATTTTTGATTCATTATTTTTAATTTAGCAATTTTATGTAGATGTCCAAAAATCAGGGCACTAAGGGGCTTTCTCTTTGTATATACTGTATGAAAAGATTATTTATTAATGTTCCTAGTGCACTTTAATGTAGTACGGTTTCAAACAGTGCATTACATGGACCAATTAATGCACAACACATTAGAGCAGTGGTTTTCAAACTTTTTTTCTGGGGACCCAGTTGAAGAAAATTGTTGATGCCCATGACCCAGCAGAGCTGGGGATGAGAGGTTTAGGATGAGAGAGGGGCTCAGGGCTGGGGCAGAGGGTTGGGGTGAGGGTTGCGGGGTGGGGCCAGGAATGAGGAGTTCAGGGTATGGGAGGGAGCTCTGGACTGGGGCAGGGTGTTGGGGAGTGGGAGAGGGTGAGGGCTCTGGGCTGGAGCTGAGGGGTTTGGGATGCAGGAGGGGCTCTGGTTTTGGGGGGGCTCAGGGCTGGGGCAGGGGGTTAGGGTGCAGGAGGGAGTCAGGGCTCTGGGCTGGGGTTGCTGACCAAAGCCGCTAGGTCCCAGTGTGCTGAGCAAGGCAACCCAGTGCCTTACATGCCGCGACACAGTAGTGGGTCATGACCTAAACTTTGAAAAACACTGCATTAGAGTGCATTAGAAATCACCGCCATAGTGTGCATTACTGCTCCATGTAGACAAGCCCTTAGATACAAGTAACTATTTCCAGAGTTTTTCCAGTGTTTATTGAATAGGCACTGATTTCTTTTTTTTGTCAGTAGTGTTTTATTGGTGTTATCAGTTAAAACTGAAAACCAGAAGCCCTACTGTTAATGTACAGTATTTTTAACTGAATTCTAGCTCAAGTCATCCGACATCTTGCTCTTACTCAAATCAAGCTTAACTTTGGATGGAAGCAAGATTGGGCCCTAAGACTTTAAAAACCACAGAGTTGTGCTGTGGCTGTTCTGCTAAGATTATATCGTTCTAGTACTTGTGGTCAATAGTAAAATGAAACTTATAATGGATAGATAAGATACTACGAGTGTCTGATTTTCTCAGGGCATTGATTATAAGGACAGAGAGGCAAAAATGGAGGGAAAAATAAGACATATTGAACTTTGGTGTTCACCTCTATTTTTAAGGAGTCAGAATTAATGAATACCTTGCCTGACTAACTTCTAATTTGGCAGAACAATCTACCTCACTCCTCACTTACCAGTTATGAGGTTAACATGACTCCTTTTTAATGGATTTTAGAGGGCTCGTCAATGTTAAATTTATAACGAAAACTCAAGGCCAGATTTGACCCTGCATCTGAGTTCTGATTGGCTTAGGGAGATGAGTGTAATGGAGGAAGGGCATTGGGTAGCCAATTCCAGCTCCCTGTTCCTGTGGGCCAGTTTACACTGGTCCCAGCCTCTGGATGAGTTAGAGCAGCCTTGGAACTGCTCTAACTTATACCAGTGGCGTGTGGCCCATAAGAGAACTTAGTGGAATTTCTTGTGTAAGACAGTAACTGCTCAGCATTGGGAGTAAGGCCCAGTGTGTCCCAGAGACTGGCTAAGTGACTTGCGCAAGGACACAATGAGGTAGTGGCAGAGCCAGGAAGAGAACCTAGGACCTCTGAGTTTTTTCTCTAGCCATTCATCTACATTGCCTCTCAGTGGGAGGATTTTTATGGGCTAGATGTAGATAGCAGATAAGAGGATAGGTGGGTGGCCTAGTAGAGGGAAGAAGGAAAATTTCAGTGTTCAGTGCTTTGTATTAATGTCAATATTTATTCACTGTGCTTTATGCAGGTGAAGGAGCTGTTCAAATCCATGAGTGTTCCCTACTGTTCACTTGAGCTAGACCAGACAGGTGAGGCTCTTTTGCAGTTGAGTTTTTTGTATGCAAATAAATATACTGAAAGTCTGCAAGCACCACAGTCTTTCTTAATATTTCCTGTGACTACTTCCTCATTGGCTGTATCTGCAAACAATGAGATTGCTGTTCTTCCTTGTAGTCTAAAGATGAACTTTTTTTGTATCTCTTCCTCATGGGGAGCATAGATGTTCTTTTAAAACAGGTGAAACATTTCCTCACCTGCCTCCTCAGAACTGCCTAACATGTTAAAGCTACAGTCCCAAAGGGGATTCACTGCTGTTGTGTGTTTCATTCTGCTATAGCTATGGCTGGGATTTACAGGATGGTGTCGGAAAATGATAGTGATGCTCCCTTCCTCCTATACTGCTTTTTATTTAACGTTTTAGCCCCTATGTGAAAAGGTGAGATGGTAGTGAACTTGCTTTTATATGTACAGGGCTTCTCAAACACATTAAACACAAGTAACTAAATGGAGAGGTGAGACTGTAAGTTCATGTAACAAGCACCTTCATCCATACCTACAGGGCTTGCTTCTGATCTCACTTATGATATTACAGTAACGCAACTCCTCTGACTTCAATGGGTTATTCCTGGCTTACACTGATGTCAGTGAGAGGCGTATAAAGTCCCTTGTGTGTACATTACACCCATTTAGATTATCTTTGACTAACCAACTTGCTCACTTTGGCACAGCCGACGATTGAACCCTGACTGTGGAGGCAAATGTGGCTCTAAATCACTTTCATGCTTCCTCTGGTCTCAGCAGAGCCAGAGGTTGGGTCATCCCCCTGACATAAGATAGACTATCCACAGGGCTACTCTCATTTATGGTAGTTTAGGCTACAATGGTCCTTTGACCAGGGATCAGTGCAGTGTCACCCAAGCCAGCCCTGACCCATCTCCTGCAATAGGGTTGAGGGATGGCAGAAGCTACTGGCATAAAGCCAACATAGCTGCCCTCTGCAACAGCACAAAGAGCAATTGTTGGAGCCATGATCTAGTCTTACGGTTTACACCCACTCATCAAGGTGTAGCTTATGCACATCAGCTTTGAATTTGGCCCACTGAACTTGAGTAGGGTGACCAGTCAGCAAATGTGAAAAATCGGGATGGGGGAGGGGGATAATAGGAGCTTATATAAGAAAGAGACCCCAAAATTGGGACTGTCCCTATAAAATCAGGACATATGGTCACCCTAAACTTGAGTCTTTTGGACTCTAAGCAGATGTAACCCATATTGCTGAGGTTCTAGATGATAGGAGTAAAGCAACTGGCACATCATTGTTAAAACGAGGCATTTGTTTTAAGTTGTCTCTTCCAGATTGTTAGAGTAGTAGTAGAGTAGCTAATTTTTCAATCAAATTCTTTCTTATGTAAAGGTTCTCTTGCTGATTCATGCCAATGCAAATCAGCAGAAAGTTTCTGCTTTGTGACACGGAGAGCAAATTCTTACTTAAATCAGCAAAGACCTTTGCCTTGAAGTGCATTTCTTAGATCTGCATGGCGAGTACTTGGAGGGTTTACACCTACCACTCTTTCTTACGTAAGCAACAGTTGCTTTTTTTTCCTTACACAGACATTAGTCTGAATTCTCAGGCGGGGCCTTAATGTAAATGAGAATCAGGCCCTCCGTGTATTACTCCCTTTTACTCTTGCACTTGATATTGAATTTTGTTTGGCTTTTTAATACTGTAAAGAGTTTCTTGTTTTTTTTATAGTATCAGATTGTTAATGGACCCTGTGCAGGGGGCACAAGGGCTGGGGTAAAAGCTCCTTGTGCTTTTCTCCCCTCATCCTGCTCCACTGAGCTACCACAAAGGGGGCAGGCACAGGAGGGTAGAGTCTCTGCATGGGCCAGCAGGTGAGCCCAGACGTGAGGAGAGCACACACTGCATCCATTTCAAGGGGGGCAGAGCTGCAGCGTGCACTCTCTGATAACCCCAGGAAGAATTCCTCCTGGGCTACCATTGCAGCATAGTCCCTCCTTACCCATTCAGTGCAGGGTTGTGCCTTTAAGACACGATCCATCTCAAAGTGCTGTTAACATTAATGTATATTTAGTGACAGGGCGGGGGAGTTTCATATTTTTTTTAATGTTACAGTGTGCCAGATGTGGTCCAATATCATGGCCCAACCAGCTTTTTATGGGTTTTCCTAAAGTTGTGGGCCATATATTCACCTGGTGCAAATTAGCACAGCTCCACTGACCTCATAATTTCATTAGAGCTATGCTGATTTACACCAGCTATGAGAGTGGCCCTAAATGCCCTCTGGCTCAGAGAAGGATCCAAATGTGCCAGATGTGAGATCCAAGACCTGCTTGTGGATGTTGCCCTGAGGAATATGCTAGTTTATCTGAGGGAAAATATTGATTCACCAACTCTCTGCATTATTGTAATTACCATTAATGGAAGAGATTATACTGAGTGTTTGCCAGAACAAACACAGGATATGAAAAGCACTTCTTTGCTTTGTCATTCATCTCTGGCAGTTTGCCCAGTGCAACGAGGGAGTGGCCGAGAAACTATGAATTTATGACTAAGTTCCCCTGGTAGATACTTGGGGTGACTAGAGCTATTTGTATACAATTTGCCTTGTCCAACCAACATATTTTTATCTAATTTCAGAGTATAGTTTTACATGAACATTCTTGAAGCTGTTTAAACTTGTTAAAGGAATACAACATAAGGTTCATTTGTTTAATGTCCACCGAACTCTGGCTTTTCGTAGGGTGTTTTTTTTGTTTTTTTTGGCAGGGGGAATGTTCTACCTCAATACAAATCCTGGGAGGTATTCAAAAACTGAGTCCCAGTATTCCTCAGCATGTATTGGTGTCGGCTGCTGTCCTGTCCCCTCAACTCAGGAAGGATTAAACACGACACTCTGAGTCTGTTCAGTCCCTTTCCTCATGGCACCATTTATTGGTTGCACTGACAATTTTTAGCAAACCCTAAAATCAAACAGTTCAACATAAATCCAGCAGCCACCCTTCCCTCAACCCGAGGGCTTTCTTGCCAGAGCCTCTCTGCACCTGGCAACATAGGTGCTGGGAGTGCTGCCTCACCCTCCGTCCTGAAGTGGTTTCCATCATTTACAGGGTTTAGTGGCTCTCAGCACCCCCACGATACAAACTGTTCCAGCGCCCTTGCCAGGCAATTCTTCCCCAGTCTTCCTATGGACCAGAAACGGCCAAAGTTACTGACCCTCCGAGCCGCATACAACAATCTTCAGAAGTTCAAGAGCTAGGGCCCAGCTGCCAGGGCCTGGGGCTTCTGCCCTGCTGGAGGCACCTGCCGGGCACAAGGCTTCAGCCCTGCTCTTGCTGAAGCCCCGGCAGGTGTGCCCTGTGAGGCTGAAGCCCTGCTGGACAGAAGCCCCTTCCCCACCACCCTGCTGCAAGGCAGAGGTCCCGAGCTCTCCCCACCCCCAAGTCTGGTAGGTGGAGAATGGGGGAGGGAGCATGGGGGCCTCCAAGAGCCACATTTTAACTGTAAAAGAGCCTCATGCGGCTTGTGAGCCACAATTTGGCCACCCTTACTATAGACTATCTTCCTGGGAGTCCCCCTGCCACAGGAGCCAACCTGCTGCTTGGAGCGCTCCCTCTCAGTAGAGCTCTTCCAGCCTTGATAGAAGTCAGGTGCTCATCAGGTAATCACCTGACTTCTTCCTTCCCATGTGCTTCTGATAATTGCCTCCACCAGGCCCAAACACCTTTTCGTAGAGGGGCTCTGCCTCAAACCAGGCTGCCCCTTAAAGGGGCAGACTTTCCTGTTACAGTTGGTTCCTAGATAATGTTTCCCCAAAATAAAATATTAAGACTTTAACATAATTAATAACAATACCTAGTGCTTACATGATATGTATTTTCAGAGCACTTTACAGACATTAGTTAATTATTTTTCACAATAGCCTTGTGAGGTAGGTGAGTATCATAGGCACCGACTCCGGGTGTGCTCCGGGGCTGGAGCATCCACGGGAAAAAAACAGTGGGTGCTCAACATCCACCAGTGGCCCCCCGATCAGCTCCTTCCCCGCCCCACCCCCATGCCTCCCACCTGCCATGGATCAGCTGTTCAGCAGTATGCAGGAAGCGCTGGGGGAGAGGGGCGGAGCAGGGGTGGGGCAGGGCTGGGGCAGAAAGAGGTGAGGCAGGGCCAGGAAGAGGTGGGGTAGGGCCTTCGGGGAAGGGTTACAGTGAGGGCAGGGCTTGGGGTAGAGTAGGTGTTGAGCCCCCCAGGGAAATTAGAAAGTCGGTGCCTTGAGTGAGTATTATCCCTAAGTTACAGAGTAGGAAATGGAAATAGTGAAGTTAAGGGCCAGTTTTCAGTAAGTTGGTCTGTCTGCATATGAGTGCACAATTGTATTTCTCCTTTGTGTGCTCACTACCAGATACGTATGCACATATCCAGGACAGGTGTGTGTCTAGCCATGTGCATGTGCAAACCAGAATTTGCACTGCACATCCTGTAGTCAGGGCCGGCTCCAGGCACCAGCCCACCAAGCTTGTGCTTGGGGCGGCACCTGGAGGGGGGTGGCGCGGTGCGGTGCTCTGGCTCCGGCCGCCGGGGAGAGCAGGGCCACGGCCAGGCTCGCCGCCCTCCCCCCGGCGCTCTGGCCGCCAGGGAGAGCGGAGCCCCGGCTGGGCACTCTGGCCGCCGGGGAGAGCGGAGCCCCGGCTGGGCACTCCGCCCTCCT